ATATGTTCGCGGTGGCAATGGCTGCAAATAACTGATTTTATTTTGAAGCAAACACGCACGACCGGACCGGTCTGATTTATAATAATAATAATATCCGGACCATTATTATAAATCAGACCGGTCCGGTCGAGCGTGTTTGCTTCAAAATAAAATCAGTTATTTTGCAACCATTGCCGTCGCGAACATGTAATTGGGTTTCTTACGTGGGGCGATCTATGGGCTCTATTGAGGGAATTAAGGCGGCCTGTTGGTTGAGAGCTTAGGCTTCCAACTAAGAGGTCCTAGGTTCGTGTCTTTGTGTATGCGTTGTGTGTGTGAGTTTGCTTTAATTGGCCTAAATGTCCCCAAAAAAAATAATAAAAATATCAAAATTATTTCTTGATTTTTTTTAATGGATTATTAGAGATTATTTTAATCTCTCAATTTTTTAAAACTTATTATTTTGATTCCATTTTGAGAAATGGAAAGAAAAATAAATTTTTAATATAGTTGAAGACTATTGATGTATTATCAAAAAAATATCCATGAATCTCGAGGCAAAATCTATCCTGAAACTTCAAAAATTAAATTCAAGAGCATTTGAACTCCGATTTCAGCGAGCTTATAGTCAAACTGAGCGTCTCGGAAATACGAACCCAACGACACCAAATTCGACCCAATCCGAGCCCAAATGGGTCTGAATCATGGACCCGAAGCACTGTTGGAAGGTTCAAACCTTAATTTGAGATACCAAACAGTCTCCGATTTTAACGAGCTTATACTCAAATCGAACGGCTCGAAGAGACGAAGATCACCGATTTTCGACATCACTAAAACATTCAAATGTCCAACGAACAGTGCACAATCGTAGGATTCAATATCGGCCGTCCATTCAACCACTCCCCCTGATCTCACACCTATTTATGAGCTATGCCACTTCAGAAAATCTATAAATAGAGCCTTCATTCTTCACAAAGAGGATCCAAGTGAAGAGAGAGAAGAAGAAGAGAAGAAGAGAAGAGAAGGAAGAGAAGGAAGAAGCTCCTCCTCGACCACAGCCGTAGCCTCGCAGGACCACCGCAGGAGCCTCGCTGGACCACCGCCGAACCACCGCATGTAATGTATACCTAAAAAATATGTTTTTAAAAATATATTTAAAATTGTAATGCATCTAGTTTGGCCAATGAACGTGTTGATTCAACTTAAATTTCCTTATGGGAATGATTTGGATCATGATCAACAAATCCATTTCAAAACTTTAACTAATTATATTATTTATTTTTATTAGACTCTACACGCAAAGTTATGCCCTAATTTTTAATTTGTTGCGTTGGCGGCATATGATAACATTAGAGAGAATAGTCTGAGGGGCTTTTTGATAATTTGATTAGAAGAGTAATTGTATTAGATCCGACCTATGTTAATAAATTTAGAGATAAACCTAAAATATCTTCATTAGAAAGTCTTGAAAATGCTCATTTTTTTATAAAATTTAAATAACAATTTGACTATTTAATAGATACAAAGAAGAAAAAAATTTCTATAACCAAATTCATGTAGTAGGATAAAAATTTAATGTGTTTATCATTATTACATATTTTAAATGGATAATATATATTTTGATAAAAAATTTATAATCATGAGCATTTACTCTTCGTAAAACACTTTCAACCAATACTAGAGCAATTGATTTTAATTAGAAAATGGCAGAAAATATTGTTTAAAACTATTATTTATTCCTTTTTAAGATGAGAAAAATAAGAAAAACGAGATAATTTGTAATACAGACATATACATAATACTTTGCTTAAAAGACTTAAATTCGTTATTACAAATGTCATTAAAAACAGTAGAAAATATCATAGAACTTTTTGAAACATGCTTTTTAAGAAAAAAAAGCCAAATAAAATTAGGACTTTTAAAATTAAAAGACATAAGTTATGAGCATATAAAATCCTGACACGTATTTCAAAGTAAAAGCGGAAATGTTTTTTTTATATAATTAAACAAATTAAGATAAACTCCTAAACTTATCACGTAAATAAAACTCAAATTCAAAAATTCTTCATTAAAAGTCAAAACTCTAAACTAACATACTAAGCTGAGTTACATGAAAAGTAAGAATGTTAACTAAATTTTGTGGGAAACAAAGACTCTTTGTCCCTTTCCATTTCCGACAAACTGCCATTCTCTTTGTCGGCGCCACCATGTAAGGATGAGAAGTGTGGCGAAATTATCCAGTAAACAAATTTAAGATATAAAATTCCACACTTCTTAAATGAAATTTTTACACAAGATATCTATCACTGCACTAAAAAAATAAAGGAAAATTATAGATGATACCTAGTTCGACTAACCAAAACTTGAAAATTATAGTCAAAATCTTCAAATCAAATCCCATATGAGCATCAATTCTACTTCCGTAAAACAGCTCATCTTGATTTGTTTGTTGAGAATTTTAACTACCAATAAAAAAAAATTTAGATTCAAATTTTACGTATGTGATGTGCTTATGAATTTGTCTTAATTGCCTAAATGTCTCAAAAAAATTTAAAAAAAAAAAACCAATACAAAAATATAGTAGTTCACAGGCAGTCAATTCAATTTATAATCCACATCAGGATAGTCAACAACGTGAACCTTCACCTTTCTAAAATCAATTTATAAGCACCAGTTGTGCATTAAATAAGCAATGAAATTTGTTACAGAGCTTAAAATCTCCTTCCCAAATTGTGCAACCAAGAGATGTTCATTTAGGGATAATCTGAATAATTTAAGCACTAATTTCAGAGTAAATACAAGGATTTTTAATCACCTCACAACACACTTTTACAAGAGAAAAACTAGCATGAGATCATCTCAACCCAAGAGAAGCTAAAGGACTCTAATAATAACATTAGGGTTTCAAGATAAAGCTGCATTAGCCATCAAACCCCTCACTAATCTTACAGGAACACTGCAGAAAGAAAAAAAAACAAAAAAACTACAGCAATAGGTTTTTACCTGGAGGAGAAGGAGAGAGAGAGAGAGACATATTAAGCTCAAAGACTCAGAATGATACTTATCTGAACAGACAATCCAAAGCTTTAAAAAGTTAACTTCCTTTTCTTTCGTTTTTCTCTCTCTAAAAGCAATCTCGCCTCTGCACTGTACACCAATTCCATATTACCAACAAAGGATAAGTGTTTTGATTAAAAAATATATATATTATTTTAAATATAGGTTTGATTTTCCCAATGAAAATTAATTAGAGATTTTGAAAAATTATTTTTGAAAATTAATTCTGGGTTTCCAAATCTCCTACGAGCGCAAGCCCTCGTAGTTAATTACATCGCAGAAAAATTAGAAATTTCCCTACAAAAACTCGATTAAAATAGCGGTGTAAATTTTATTTAGATTTTCAAAGATCGATATCAAAGGAAGAAAAAGGTTGGAATTTTCAATCGGGGTTAGATCAAGGTTAAACAGTTATTTCTGGAGTCAAATGAAGAAAGGTAGGATGTGTTTTGAGATTCTGAATTACTTCAGAAACATCCCAGTCTATCCTAAGTGTTGGGCTTGAATTTGATTGAAAGTAATTTAAGTTTGAATGGTTGATTTTATTAGAAAGTTTGGACTTATATTCTCGATCACCAGATCGGGAGAATGCCCAGGAGGTAAGGGTGAAGACTAACCTACCAAGTGGGTATGACGTCCCCGGTCAAGATCCCATGGTTTTCCATCGTCCCAGGTTCGTCGATATCCTTAACCTACTTAGTCGAGTGCCGACCAGAGGATCCTTGTTAGCAACCATGGGTTACCTCATTCAAGGGGACCTCGTAGGCCAAGGGGCTGGGGACCTAATCCTAGGCTGACAAACAGGAAGTGCACAGGTCTGTGGACAGTGAACCTATGTCTATGTTATCTAACTTAGGATGCCACTCTCATTTTGTATGCGTATCAATATATTTTAAAAATAAAAAGGAACACCGGCTTAACCTAAAGCTAGAGTTCGTGTCCTAATAGGTCAATCTATGTGTGTGTAGCAGGCTGTGTGGTTTGGATATATCCTAAATCGAGTAATTGATTAAAGTTGCTTAATTGTTCTGATTGGTTGAAAGGCTCAAGGGAAGATTATGGTTAAAGTTTAAATCTTAATGATTCAAAATTAATTTTAAGATTGATTGTTGGTTTTAAAGTTAGATTGAAACTTTCTGGAAGGTTTTAAAGTTTAATTAAGGTTTAAACTTAAGGGGTTCAAAGGATTTGAATTTTAGTGATAATTTTCCCTAGAGCAGGGAAGATCACTAAACTTAAGGGGTTTAAATTTGATGTCACTTGGGTTTAAAATTTGATTTGCTTAATTAAGGATTTAATTTTAATTAGATCAATTAATTGGTTTAATGATTAAAAGAAAAGATAATTTTTTAAGGTTTAAGGTGTCACTAGGTTCAAGTTGTTCAAGTCTTAGGTTAATAGGAGATATCTTCTAATCTCTAGAAATTTTCTAAGTTCTCTAGAAGTGTCCTTAATTATTGTCCTTAAAAATGTCACTAGGTTTGAATCAATGTCACTAACCCTTTGGACATGCCTAAGAATGTCAAAAAGCTATGTCGATGAATTTTGAATTTGTAAAAAGAAGAAAGCATATATTGACTAAATGCAGGAATTATTGCAAGAATTTAAAGCGGGAGAAATAACTCAACAGGTAAATATAGAAACCTTATGCTCTTTTAAGTTTTAAGAAAACTTACCTGGTCACCGGAGCTAGTCAACGGTGACTCCGGCCGTAGCACCCCGTTTAGAAGAAACGGGGCGACTGAGGCTCCTTGACTCATCCTCCAATCAGCTTCACCAGTACCTCGCAAAAAGGCAAAGAGAGAAGACGGTGTCAGAATATCATGTATAAAAGTATAGCAGCTACTATGAATGGACATATAAATGAATATGTGAAAATTTGAATCAAATCAAATTATTTAAGCAATTTCAAAATGTATGTATTTCTGCCATAAACCATTTCAAACTGCTATGAGCAAATGAACCTTTTCTTTTATTAGAACAATGAGATCTCTATGAGCAGCCAATTCCTTCTTTGTGCTAAGGATTGCATCAATATTCAAAGAATCAAAATTGTAAGTGTCAACTGATTCACTTGATAAAAATCTTAAAAGATGCTTAACTTGTGTATAATCAACCAGAGGAAATTTTCATGAATATATTACCTCATAAGAACAAGTTCAGCACATGACATCTAACAAAAGTGAATCGGCATGTATAAGCATTGGAAGAAGATTGATATTCACAAAGCCTCTTTTTTTTAACAACACTTACAGCTCTTCACCTTTATTGTGAGAATTTGAGTAAATAATAAAGATGGGAAAATATATGATTGTAATTCATTCATCTTGCATGTACATCTAGCATTCAAACATAAAGGGGTGTATATATGTGAGATTTTCCAATTTAACTAAAACTCCCTTTGAATACACATGATATTGGGGCATCACAATGAACGCATCATTTTCTAACAGTTAGGATTCGTCAAATACACATAATCACCATTTGACATAATATTTGCAATGAGCATCAAACTCATTTAACTACTCCCATTTAACATTCACATTCGACACCTTACATAGCATAGCATCGTAACATGTAAAGAAAGTAATTAGATAAACTCATAGATCTCATCTAAATATCATATATATACAATACCAACATCATTCTCCATCACTAATGAAAGTTTCTCATCAGGACTTGTTGGAAAAATATAAGAATATGTTTCGTGAAACCAACAATTCTATATGTAAATGATGACTAGTAATCTTTAAAGAAAAAAGACCCACCAATCCTTCCATTAAAAAAAATGATGTATGTTGTATTCTTTCAGATTTTTTTTGAAAGTAAAATGAAAGGAAGGCAAGAGAGCTCTACTAAATCATATAAATCTCAATTTTCAAGGATATTTCTAAAAAGCCAAATCAATCAAAATGAAGTTCTCATCAACGTAAAAGAAATCTTGTGCTTGCTCAGATAAATTCTTGTTCATGCAAATAGTACTGATCAATCTCCTCCAAAACACACTAGACATTCTAATTCTTCAAGAAGGAAGGGATCACATAATGATTTAACTCCATATATGTGTTTCGACAAGGTACTCTTTGAAATTACATCGAAATCATTTGCTAAAGAATAAAATTCATATTCCTTGCCTACACTTCATTTTTTTATTCGAAAATGGGAAAGAGCATCAATGCCACAAGTTATGGAGGAGTGGAAATGCAGCCATCAATTTCATAGACCATCATTAACGAATTCATACCATGGTAATAATAGAATCATGCAAATGGTTGTTCAATTCCTGATCGTACACCTCCAGCATGTATTTCAATACATAAAAGAGAATCAAATATTATCTCTAACATCTTTACAACTTGATACAATGGTCTCATCATAAAATCCTTGCATAAATAATAAACTTTAACGGTTTGTAGCCAAGAGAAAATTAAACAAGTATAAAGTCAATTTGGAAATACCAATAAAAAGTATTTATAAATAAATAAGCTTGAACCACTCATCAAGAATTGTATCAACTTCATATAAGGGACACTTTCACTTGTCAAATGAACATACCACGAGGGACTAATGCTTATATAAGTTCTCAAAGGGACGATCATAAACTTCCCTTTTTTTTTTTTGAGAGATCCGAAAATTAATTTGATTAAATTTTGTCTCAAAAGAAATAATAAGAAGCGATGTGTTTGCATTCTCATATCGAAAGAACCATAAACCTTACTTCCAGGAAAACTAAAAAAAGAAGGGAAAAACATGAGACGACGCAACTACCTCAAATGGAATAAGTGTAGCCATTGATCAATCAAGATAAATCAAATGTTTGTATACATTCCAACAAACTTTCATATTCAAATCACCATATATCTTATCAAAAGAGAGGAGGAAAAATAAATTTTGCCTCACATTCTTTTTGAGAAATCTGAAATTCAAGCCATCGAATGTTGAATCTATAAGGGAAGAGGGCAAGAAAGCCAACCTTGCCATTTCAATCTTTGAGAGAAAGCAAGCATATATACATACATTTACGTGACAAATAATTGTGTCGAATCTTCACAAAAAAGGAATAAGAGAATCTCATTTAACCTTAGAGCATTTACCTCATGAAAATCTATATTAAGTCCTCCCAAAACAGTAAAAAAAAAGTTGTCTAAATCAAGAGTATTCTCATTATGAAAATCTGTGTAGAACCCTTACAAAAAGGTGAGAAAAATTGTTTAATTGGAGAGCATTAATATAATTAAGAAAAAAAAACTGTATTAAATCCACACTCGTTAACAAGATTCTCAAAATAACAGAGAAAACATATAGCCATTTGGAGCATGAAAAAGGGACTGAAAGTTCAAAGAGAATAAATAGATCCCAAGTTTTTTTATATAGCCAAAGCTCAAAAACAGAACCAACTACAATATCATAAAATGAAGGACCGAAAATAAGCACGTTAATAAAGATTAAAATAAAGAGCAAAGAACGTATACATAGCAAGATTCAAAGAATTTATATACTGGCTTCTTGAACTCCCAATGACATTCGCACATGTTCAATCTATAAGGATATAAAAATAATAATGCAGCTATCTCATTTTTATAAACAATAGAGTGTAACCATTTGATCTTGGAGAAAGAAATGATCATTACCGTTGCTATTCTTACACAAGAAAGAGAACGGCTGTTCTTGCTGGGTATCAGAAAATCGGTTGCTGCTCTCGCGTGCATTCCCTTTCTTTGCTAGACCTTGTTTAATGGCTGAAATATGTAGCCGATTTTCTCCATATAGTGACATGGAGAGCCGCCATATTCAAGCATAGCAACACTCACTAGAGAAAGAAGTGCTCCAGACCAAGTCATGGCAGGTACGGTTGCCCAAAAAAAAAACTTAACTCCATTCCTGCAGATCAAGTTTGGGAGTCCCCATGTGCTTCTTTCAAGCAGGAATATCACTTGCCCTTGCTTGGACGGGTGGAGAAAAGGAAAGAGCAGCTGGAGGCGTGTAAACTTCCTGTAGGCATCAAGTGCAAGCAGCCTTCTTCCTCTTCAGCCGGCCCTAGCAACAGATTTCCAAAGGAAAATGAGATCGTGAGAGGGAGGTGCTGCCTATCGGGATGAAGGCATGGAATCCGAGAGGTCACGACTTGCCCTAACTCCCTTTAAAACTTGAAATAAAAATTTTCAATTAATTGACCATCTAGCCCTTCAAATGATTCAAATCCGATGGTAGAAATTATTGCTTAAATTAAGATGATTTAGAGTCTCAATAATAATAAAATAAAAGCTAAAATTAAGAACTCGATTAATTATGCAACATCCTTATTTGAAAAGGTCACATTAGTTTACATTAACTAAAATCAATTTGACTCGAGAGAAGTTAAATCGAGCCGTTTAATATTAATCAAGTTAATATGCACTTGAGTCGAGTCGGGGCAATTTAAGTTAAATTAATCAAAGCCACCGAGGTGAGTAAAATTCAAATTGATTCGAATAAATTCGACGTCATCAAATCTAGTTTGTGTGATCAAATTAACTTTAATTAACTCGTTTGCGGTTCAATTTTGATTTTAAGGAAGATTGATGAGGTCGATTACGAGCTAGATTGTAGGTGATGATGATTGTAAAGGTCGATTGATCGAACTGTGGATCAGAAGCTAGATTACAGTATGATCGAAATTTGATTCAAAAGTGATTGAGGGTTGGGGTTAGTCCAAGTGACCTCATACAAAAATGAGGTCAACAATAAGTAGCTAGCGGGCCAGAATATGACGGCTCGCCACACACCTACTCTAGCCTACAAGGCTGATTACCTCTTCCTCCTCTTAGTTTAAACTTGTCCGATGAAGGAAATGAGAATATGATCTGTCTTCGATATATATAGAAGAATGGGATCACAAGTAACAATAAAAGTTTAGCGAAATATAAATAATCAGCCTAAGTTGAAATAATAATAGAGGAAACATTCAAATAAGAACATGTGAAGTATACGTTTCGATATAACATAACAAACATAATAAAATCATCATAACAAACCTCAATCCCAAGTATTTGGTGTTAGCATTATAACTCCACATTTTTCATTTGGTCCTACTACAAATTGTTTGAGATGTTTAAGATATTTTTTGACAAAATGATTCTGAATGATACCTTAATTCTCTGACATTAATTTTATCAACTCATTAAATGATAAACTTTCTACCCTATATTTAGATGTTTAAATCACCCAAGTCAATTTTAACTAAGTTGTCTTTCATAAATGCCGCGGAGATAGTTCCTTCAATATATTAATTTTTAATTTTACATAGAGGATATCAATTTTTTTTCTGGTTCATTTAATATGGCGTTGATTATTTGGTATAACCCCCATGAGTTTGCTTTTTTCATGGAACACGATATTAGTAGGAATATAAATAACAACAAAATAGTCATAATTTAAAATTGATAAAAAAAAGATTAAAATAATCATTGGACTATATGTATGCAACCATTTTAGTCATAATTGTCCAATGTATCTAATTTAGAGGCATTCTCAAAAACTTCATCTTTATCAACAACATTATGAGTTTCAATAGCATTGTCGACAATTTTGAAACATTAAAAAACAGTTTCCTTTAAAAGGCCAATGACATATTTCTTTGAGATTATTATAGGTATATTCTAATCCCAAAAAACATTTTGGACAACCTAAATCTGTCTTCAGAAAATATTTTTGGAGATAGTGTTTTACTTCTATCAAACCAAGAATATTTTTGGTATATTCTATCCCTTTTGGACCACTTCCAAGAAGCATAATGTCATCAACATAGAGCACCAATAACACAAATGATATGAAGTGGATTTGGCAAAAATACAGTGATATGTTACGTTGTTGTGAAGGCTCGCCTCAATAAGAATTTTGTAAAATTTATCAAACAAAGTCCTAGGGCTTTACTTTTACCATATATAGCCTTATTGAGCTCAATAATTTGGCTCCCTTGCCAAAAAAAAAAGGGATTGCTTACATTGGTTTGTAGCAATGGCCAATCTTGATTGATAATGACGGACAAACAATTATATTTTTAGTACAACATTAGCTAAATTGAGACAACATATACGACAAAGCATTAGCAGTACAAAGGAATTTAATCATAATTTAAAATTGAAGTTTTATTTTCTAATATAAAGTTCGAAATGTAAGGAAAACTTTGTACTTGCACTCTAGCAAATACAATAACGTGGCTTGAGAGTAATCACCAATAAAAGAAATGAAGTACTAAAACCATGAGTTGGTAAGAACAAGATGACAATCTCAGATATAAATAAAAATGAACCAACTCAAATAGCGCATTATTAAGATTTGACATGGAATATGGAAAATCAACTGATGATACTTACCTAGCTCACAAGCGTTACATTTAAATTTGGAAAGAAAGAAGATTGAGGACCAAACATTAATGCCACTTGTGTCTGGGTTTGTTTCTGTCTGAGCAGTGGGAATTGTTTTTTCAGTTTTGAGTTTAATGTCCAGTCTAAGATTTTATGCAGGTTTGTTAGCTGGAGTTTTTTGTATATTTTCTTTGCTGGTTGTAGTAATCTGGGTGGAAATTATGGTTTCTGTTTTGGCCTGAGTCTGCACTAGGTTGGTTGTTTTAAGTGGGAGAATTTAGGTGTGTTGTTTTGTTCAGGAAGATCCCTATTCACGACAATGGTAGGTCGGTTTGGGATTTAAATGGGTTTCTCTGTTTTCTGCAAGGCTATCTTAGGTTGTCTAATTCTTTTATGAATTATTGGCCTAATAGGGATAACATTGGGACCCTTACCGCTATTATCTACTTTATTTCTCTTACATTATTTTGGAGAATTCCTTGCAGGCATCAAAATAATCTTCGTGTTATGAGCATCAATGACCGCAAGGTATTCTCTTCTTCAAATTCGAATTTCTATTTCTGTTATCTTCAATTTTTTTGCATGAAGACTAAGCTGAAAGGGACTATTCTGGTCTTCCTTTTTTGGGTGCTGTTTTCTCACAGCCCGAGCTATGTTCATTTTGTAATCGTAGAAAAAGGATCCACCGGCTCGTAGGTTTTTTGTTCTCCTTTTTAACTGTAGCTCTTTCGAGCATTAGAGAGCTCGATGAACCTTTTAAGGACTCTGTAACCGTTTTTTGTGATATAAGCGCGTAGGCCCCATAAGAGAGTTTTAAAATAATAATAATAAATAAATAAAATTAAAAATGGTGTGCACAAAGGTCCATGAATTTTTAACAATAACCCGTGGCGCACACAAAATATTAAATATATAAAGATGTATCATTAACAATTCAATAATTTAAAAGATAAGATACTAAATTGTAAAAAACCACCGTCAAAGCCATATAAATGAAATAAAAGATTTATTTAACAAACAGTAATGTGCATGAAATAAATTATCATGGCAAAGAAAACAAGCACATTTGTAAATAAATATGCCAACGCTATAATAATGCATACTTTTAGGTCAAAATTCTGAATGATGAAGCTAGGCTCAATCACTTTTAGGTCAAAATTCTGAATAATGAAGCTAGAGCTACCCACTAAAAAATATTAGATAAGATGATACTGCTTTAAATTAAATTAGATAAAATAATAAAGCAACAAATTCAAAGTAAAAATATATTAACCACAATTAAAATAAAAATATATTAAACATAATTAAATTAGACTAAACCAAATTAGATTAAATAATATCAAAAATAAAATCCTGGAAAATTAAAGGAAAAAATGCTACACTAAAATCACAATAAAAATATAAGAATGAGTTAACGGTTGATCCTGATTAAAGATGTAAATGAGTCAAGTTGACTCGTGAGTTGACCAGGGAACAACTCAATAAATGGCATGTGAACCAATCTCAATTTGACTAGTTAGCTTGTCAGTCAACTCCTTTTAAAAGATATTAATTTTAGCTAAAAATATATTAGAATTTTAAATTTTAAATACAAGATTTAAATAAAATATATATCTAACTTTCTTATATTAAATTACTTCTTATTCTTTCTTAGATTTCTTATTTTCTAACATTTCATTACAACAATTACTTGGATCAAAATCATTCTCTTCTATGATTAATGTGTTGACTTGAAATCCTATAATCAAGCTCAAACACGAATAATTAATTAAGATCAAGTTGGTGGTGGCTCAAGCTCAACTCAACTAGTTTACACCCGTAATTCTAACAAATGACAAGAAAAGAGAACAAATAGAAGATGGAATAACAGCTTCTATCAGAGAAGATTGGGAGACTCGAGGGTTTTGTAAGCACATGAGAGGGTAGTGTTTGACTCTTAAACAATATTCAAGATGACGAGCTTACATGCTCAACTAAGAAGTTTGAGTTCAAAATGCAAAGAAGATCTAAGAAGAAGATAATCTCTTGCATTTGGCTAGGTTTAGGGATATTTCACAGACAAGATCAATACTCATGCGAGATGGTCAAACTACTAAGATCGTGCATTAAAGGGTTGTAAATGAGTTGAGCTAGCTCAAATTCAACTTGTTAACAAGCACACGATGCTAGCTTATCGAGACACAAGCTCAAGCTCAAGCTCAACCTCGCTCATCTAGCAACTTTGTTGAGCCGCTCGTTTAAATTTGTTGACCCTACACATAAAACCATGCGAAAAGAGGCAAAAAAAACGATTTAGGTAATGTGTGCTTTGACAAAATGCATCACTTAGGGGTTCAAATGACCTCCAAATGTCGAATGGATGGTATCGTTGTGATCATGATACTGAACTCTGCTAGGTCGAGGCCTCTCGCAATTGAATCGGACGAGATCGGTTAAAAAGGATGACCGACGCCCGAAATTAAAGTGCAAAACTGATCAAACGATCACAGATCGACGAACAGACTTCATCGTTGCATCTGGAATGTTGTCAACCTATGAAAATTACATTTTGTTTATTCTATTTGGAGTATCTAGATTTGTAGCACAAATCTCAATGTAATGCAAAGATGTGCATATCGAGGAAAGGATGCCTCGAAGACGCTCGGACGGCATCCAACCGACAAATGGAAAACACCATTGCGTCCGGAACGTCGTCGACATTAAGAATATACATTTTTATTTAATAAATTAGGATCGTCTGAGATGGTGGTGAATTTCTAAGCAATTCAAATATAATATGAATGCCTGCATTA